TTAGAAGGAGGTCACAGAGCACAAAAGCATTCGTAGCAGAGCAAGTAATAGAACTGTATCAGGTAGAATAATCTCATTCTCCGAAATACAGAGCAACTACCAATTAATATGAATAAGAAAGTTCTGCTGTGGCAGGAGGTCATTCCATGATGGTGTTTATTGCCTTTTCTGCAGATTCTCTATCAACTACTGTCATATTTTAGCTGCCAGTTCTCATATTGTGCCTGTGTTGCAGTTTGCAGGCATGTGCCTCAGTAAGCGTGACATTAAGCAATGTGATAAAAACCTCCCTAGAGAACAGATAAAGTGGAGTTTTGACTGTCTCATTGCTGAGTGAGAGAACAGAGCTCACATTTGGTATGTTCCAAAACTTAGGCTAGTTCCAATTTTGCCTTAGAATCAGGCTCACCTGAATTAGTTCTGGTGGGGTTTTTTTGGTAGTCAGTGAAAACCAGTAACAGCCACAGGAATATCCTTGCAGTTAAACTGGGGCAAGTGCAGAAGGAATGATTAATTTCAGGATTGGCTTCTAGGCTCATGCAGCTGTCTGCAGCATTTTGTGTGACTTAGTGCATGAGATATCTATCATTGTTCACATTTAATGGCTCCATTTTTGGCTGCCTGGACAGCCTTTGCTTTCTTAAAATGGAGGCAAAAGTGGGATTTTATTTGCATGCATGGCTGTAACAGCATAACAGCAGAAAAGGAGGAGTTAGAATAATTTCTGTCTATTTAAAAGATTTTAACTATGTAATTAGTAACAGCAGTTACTGTAAAAGTACAAACATTTGCTGGTTCCTTACAACCACATTGTCGTTATAAGTAAGAGTTATAATGAATGCGGAAAAGAATCTAAGACTGAAGAAGAAGATACACTTTGAAATAGGAAGAAGCAAAAGAAAATTTCACAATCATGAGCACTGCATCATTTGCAAAAATACACTTTCTGTACATTTTTAATTGGTTTATTATAACATTAATAATGTTAAAATAGAACTAGTCTCCTGTTCTGTTCTAAAACTCTGTTTTAATTTGTCTGGTTACAACAGAGCTGCTCTGAACAAAAACCGACTGAAGAGGAAGAAAGCTTCCTCCTTTTGAGTTGGGATTTGTTATTCTCAAGAGGAGTTTCCAATCTGGAATTGTCTTTTGTCAGCCCTGCTGCTGGGTTGTCCCAAGTCTTTCTATAGCTGTTTTAGAATGTGATGGGGCTTAAAAACTGTCATACTTTAACAGTCCAAATGAATTACTTGAAGTGGACTCCTAGGCTGTAAATCTGAAATAATTTCAGGTTATACTCTATACGTTACTGATGATTACAAAGCAGAGCTGAAGAGTGATTATTAGTGATTTCTTATTTACACTGTAGTTTTGAAATGCTGTATGAAAAAGGGAAAAACATAAGCTGTTCATGCAGTAGTTAGGCTATGTAACAGGAGTCCTGAGTGGGGAGCGAGTGTAAAAATGCCCAAGGAAGGACTGCTGATGGCCAATATTGAAATAAGACCAAAAACCTATGAATAATTTTTGTACAGCTGGAATAAATTCTGTTCAAAGTGAATGATTTCCCTACTACAATTTATCTGTGTTCCAAAGATGAGATAAAAAGAAAGAGAAAATAAAGTGACATATAAACAAGTCTTGATATGTTATGTGGAATGGATGCCTGTAGAATCAAGAGTAAGTTAAGAGCAAAGTTTATCTTAATGATTTGAAAGTTATGTGGTTCACTTCGAAGTTCCTTGAAAGAAACCCTTTTGGCAGAAAACCCTTTCACACAGGCTTAAGTGAGAGCCTAGAGCCCTCTAGTGTTAGCGTTAGTGTAACAGACATTTATTATCTGCGCTACTGTAGTTCAGCTTGACCTCCACAGTGTTCCGATCAGTGTCAATAAAGAACTACTACGGCAATTACTTTCTTCCATCTAATTGTTTATTGACTTTATTATTTATCTACAGTTTAAAAATTGTCCATTTATTTTTAAGAGATATAACTGATATCATTCAGCCCAGTTTTTAGGAAGGCTTACTTTGGGGCCGTTACCCAGTCTGCGTCAGCAATAAGATAGATCCTATGTAAAGGAAAATTTAGGAAGCCTGTAAGGCTTGTCTACTACATCCACTGCAGCTGTCTGTTTTTCCATTTACTCTGTGCCTTGTTTCAGGGAGGCTCTGCAAGTCCTTCCGCTAGCTCTTTCATGCCCAAAGCATGTTGTCCCCTCTTCTTTTGAATTGTGGATTTCTGTTTGCTCTTTCCCAGCACTGGGTCTATATCTGTGGTACAGATCCTTCCTTCTCAAGGGCAGCATCTCCAGTACATCCTCAGCTACAGGTTCTGTTTACCTCCATGGTTTGCCTTGGCTTATGTTTCCCTTCCTTGTTTCTCTGTCTCTCTATGCCAGGACCAAAGTCTGCCTATTCCTTTGCTTCTCCTCCTTCTTATGCCACCAAACTCTAGGTTGGCTTTGGCCTCTGCTGTCGTTGTCATTATCACCTCTCAGTCTTCCCATGTGCCACATGTGTCTGTTATTCCCTTCTTCCCCATCATATTATTTTTTCTTCTGTCAGAGAGTTATATGAAGGGACTGCTGCCACAAACTTAATATGTGCAGAGTTTTCCAGGGAAGAGTGTTGCTGCTGGGATGCTGAGATACAGGCTTTACATGGAAAAACAGCTAATGATCTTGAAGCAACATGGAGGGAATCTGTTATTTCAGTGGGATTTGTCAGAAAATAAACCCCTTGTGTTCCAGCCAGTCCTCAGAGATCAGAGGGGCTGAGCTTCATTTCTGATTATAACCAATTCAACATTATACATCCAGTCATGTTCAGCAAGGACTTTCATGATTATGGATTCACGAATAGTGCTGTTCATTGAAGCAATAAGAATACAGATTCAGAATTGTCATTGGCAAATTCACTTACTGTGTTGTCACTAAAATCCAAAGCTAGCAAGCGTTTACTTGAGCTCATATAGAAAGAACAGTTGACAATTCATTAAGCTTAGTCCCACCTGAGTATCATCCGAGGTAGTCAGAGGGAGAAACCTTGCCAAAGGGGAATCCCTGCTTTGGGGAGGAGAGAGGAGCAAGTGCATCAACTTGTCTGTAAAGTAGAGTCATACTCTCATCCTCTGCCCATCTGGAGGGGTTCAAATACCAAATTTATCATTTTGAGAGAAGTGGAGATGAGACTGTAGTCAAATTACCTGCTGCTGCTGTCACAGGTGTTGGGGGGGGCAGACACTTTCTCACTGTGATGCATTTTTTATATGTAAATGAGGGAGAGTTTCAATTGCCTTCTGTCAGGCTGCTCAAGGGCCCTGGGTCTTGTGCAAGGGCAGAACAGAAGGGTGAATCACATCTCTCCCTCTTCCACCTGGCTGAGGTGGGAGCAGTAAGAGCCCTCAGGCCTCCACCTGGTAGCCTAATCACCCCTATCAGGATGTTGAAGTGACCAAGTTTTGTTAATTCCTTCACCATGGTATCTCACAACCTCAGGCCTCATTCCTACACTAACATGCCTGGGAAGGCCACAGAATCTGTCACTCATGAATCAGTCATGAATTCAGTAGTAGTGCTGCACTGGGAAGCCTGGTGGAACAGAGCAGTATGCTATCTACCTGGGACCTCATTTGGAAGCAGAAGAGCCTATCAACAGGAAAAAGCAGACAGTGAAGTAATAACTCCTGAGGGAGAGCTCTGCTTACCTCTGGGTGGGGTGGTATAGGGGTTGTTTTTGTTCTATGAAAGAAAAACAGGCGAGAAAGCAGCCTAAACTGCTGCTGGGCACCTGCAGAAAGCCTATGTTGTTAACCTGTTATTCCCTGTACTGAGCTGCCCAAACTGTAGGCTAGAAGAAAGGTCATCACCTTTAACTTTCTACTCTTCTCCCTACCGATTTGTAATTTTGTCATTTGTAAATTGTGCAGAACATGTTGCTTGGTGTTATACAATCTACAGTCAGATCTGTGGTGGCTAGTTCAAACTATAGTGTAAATAAAGCTGGTTAGTAACCTGTCAAAACTTGTAGATCTATGATTGTGCAATTTCATATTTGAGATTTGATAAATTTGAGATTTATGTATAAATATGAGACTAACTGGTCTGGGATACTTTGGATAGTTTCTGTGTGTCAGGTAAAGAACTTTCAGAGCTACAATGTATGTACAGGTTCAAGGATGTGCTTGCTTACTGAAATCTTACTAATTGATAGCATCTGAAGTGACGTGCTTGGAACATTTTCAGTATTTGCTTTCAAGTGCCTCTCATTACAAGCAGTATCAAAGCTCTGTAGGGGGTGAGGTACCACAGTCTAGATTGACTTTTGACCTGGAGCTGTTGAGAAATGGCTGTAGTAGGATGGGAAGCAAATGCTTTATGGGGCCAGCAACTCTCGTGGGAGGGATTTAGTGAAAAGTCAAAGAAGGCATGTTGTAAAATGCTTAAAATTTATTAATCATCATTACTTTTTCATAAGGAAAAAATATTTCAAAAAAAAATAGAAGACAAAAATATGCCACACCCAGATAACATGACTAAGAAATGGAATATTATTAATTCTGAAAGTAATGACCCAATAAATCAATATTCCAAAAACAAAATAAATAGCAATGGTTCAACTTTTAAAAGCTTCCTAGGAAAGAATTTACTATTATTATTATTTTATTTTTTTTTTTACAAAACTCCTTCATATGCCCTGTTGGCAAATATATATATATATGTATACTTCTGTAAACAGTTAATCAGAAACAAAAAAAATCCGTATTTTCATACAGTTACCATGATGATGGTGTTATGTAAACAAAGTGTAGTGTGCAGCAGCTTCTCATGATAAGAGTTCTTTTTCTTATGAGAATATATAAGAAAATATGCCCATTATAAATTTTTCAAAATGTTAAAGTTTATAGTTTTGAGAAGATATGGCTTCCTGCAGTCTAAGTTTTCTGTAATGCAAAAAGAAAACTACAGAAACAGAGAGGTACAGTTTTCCTTGGGTTGGTTTGTTTTCTGGACTTTAGCTTTTGATTTGTGTTGATGAACTGAAATGAAAGTGTCATTAAAAAGGTCAGCCTACATTAATGGACATATTAGATATTGTCAAGTGTCCATGTTATGCCACCACAGGCAAGCGTCAAGCCAGAAAAGAATGCTGTTCTCAGAACAGACTCGTGTAAGTGTAAATCTAGCTTTCAGTGTTACATTACAGCACTTCTGAGAAGACAAACAATCAGGAAATGTCAAAATGACCTTATGCTGTACCTCTCAAGGTGTAAAAGAAAACACATGAAAAACAATAGGAGATAAATTAGCAATGAAAACTGAAATAATGTAGACAGTCATATTGAGTTTGTATGCAGAAAATATCATATGTTCATCCAAAATTTTAGCTGCTTTTGACACTTTTGTGTTTTTTTTCAGTTTTTCTTTTTTAGTCTTACATTCAGCCCTTTTTTGATGACTTTTCTCTAGTTCTAATTTTAGACATCTGCTTGTTCCTGAGAGGTCTTTATCTGGTATGTTGCCTGTTGGGTGCTGACTTGGGAAATGCACTCAGCGCTCACACAGCTGCATTTCTCCACATAGGTGTATGAGTGATCAAGATAGGTTCCGTCCCTGCATGTCAGAGTCACTTTTCTTTGGCTGGTCTTGATTTCTTGACAGCATGAGCATTTATGTTCCATCATATTTGCCTCTGGAGAATATCTGATTGCAAAACCAGCAAAAGAGAAAGAATCAGAAATTATGTGAGAAATACCACTGACCCTCCCACCCATTATTAACTATAACCAGAAGTTGTGTGGAACTATTGCTCAATATTACCATTCTTACAGTATTGTGGTGACATGTAAGTTGCTCCTCACTGTAAAAATATATGAATTTAGCTCTTCCTTAAGGCCCAGAAAAACTAAATTAATTAATCCAGATTACACAGATAGATAGTACAAAATGAGAGAATAGTAAGAAACAAATAACCTCACTTTTACATGGGGAAAATCAAAACTCAGGTCTCTTCACTATGACACTGAAGAAGCTGTTCAAACATTGTAAGTCTTGAGGTAATTAAGCTAGCACAATATCAAGTCTGTTAAAAATTCTTATCAGCACAATGGAAACAGCTGATGACTGGGTAGATGTTGAACATACTACCTGTGGTTTTCTTTATGTAACTAGTGTAAAGAGTAGAAAACAAGAGACCACAATTATCTTTTTATACCACTTACCGTGAGTAAGCATCACAGCTTCCTTCACAGTATGCCATCTCAACTGGTGCAGGAGATACACATCCATGATATTTGATTACCGTAGTAGTATTGTGCTTCATACAACCTGAGGTTGTCATAAACCAAGGTAAAATAGGTTAAAGTACATGTGCATATAAATAGTTATTTGTTTATGACAGACAGCTTTTAGCAGAAAACTGAGGTGGATGGAGCTAAAATAGGAAATAAAATCACAGTGCACTTCTTAATGACTTGCTGCTTTTATTATCAATGAATGAAAAATTCCCTTTCGCTTATGCAGCTTTGGTGCAAGATACAGAAATAAAGAGCAGCACTATGGCAACTGCTCAGTGCACACACACCTCCCAGGACTGGCTTTTCTTTCTTCCTTAAAGAGAGTGTATCTATGAAAGTTGGAGAATAGTTATAGTCCTCTTGTTCCAATGAAAAGGCTAACACTTAGCAGTAGGGGATGGGATAGTTCACCACAACCATGTTTTTCAAGGCCCTAAAGTGAATGCTGGATTCCTCTTTTTTTTTCCTTTCTCCCCTCACTGTGAGGCAGTGGTCCCAAACTAGGTCTGTTCACCTCATCATGCAAGATGGACTAATATACCGAATAAGGCACATATCAACATTACTTACTTTAACAAAAGGGTCATTACTTACTCTTTAGTTTTACTTGGCATTCTTTACAGCAGCCATCATCAGATAGTTTAATGTCATCCTTGAGTAGGAAAACAGAAAAAGATGCTCAAGTTTTATATCTACGTACTAAAGCAGCAACTTCTCTTGGTTCCTAAGTTTCTCTGGCACCAGAAAATTTTTTGTACTGACATGGAATCTAATTTCAACAAGGCTAAATATTAAGGGCACGTAATTACTTCAATATTAATAAGAGTTCTTTGAAAGCTGACGTTGAGGGGAACCAGAACTGCTTTGCTGTCATCAGAGTTGGGTTGTGGAGTAGTAGAATTTCAGAAATGCAAGTTGTAGCGCATGTGGGATATTTTGAGTGATCCAAATCATACAGATGATTATGTCAGACAGGGTAATGCAATTAATGAAATAACTGATTCCCCAGATGTGTGGGGCTGGTTCTAGTCTGCCCTGAGGTGTATTAAGTCAAATGATGTTGTGAACTGAAAGGGTTTATTTTCCTTCACCTTTGCTCTCAGTAAATGAATTCTAAGAAATAATTTACAATTGTAAATAATTCAGGAATAAAAATCTCATGATTTTTCAATAAGATTGTTGCTTCTAGGTCACCTGACACATTTAGGAAACCAAGACACTATGCTGTACCTAGTCCTTGGTAAGGATTGATATATATCACCCATTGTAATTTTAATTTGCTTTTCTGAAATGGAATTTGATGGGGACCAGATTCAGAGTGGTTGAAATTAGAACTACATTCTGTGTGATGCATCTGCTAGGTATTTTCCTTGGAGATCATGATGCTTCTATCACTGCAACCTTTTCAAACATGAGAACTAGTAGAAGACAACTTACTGGATCACAGTCATCAGGGTTAAAGGGAGGACAGCTTTTCTGTAAGACAACTTGAATGAACTGGTCATCATTTTTTTCACATGTGTAAGTTGTACAGTTATCAACAGGTGGGTTCCAGAGTTCTCCAACCTGGAAGTAGTTAAAAATTAGTGAATAATTCTTCTAGTGTCTTATCATTGCTGCCTACTGCAGTTTTTATTATTCAAAAAAATTTCCTTGGATTTCAGTTGATAGCTACTTCTCATATACTACTCTGACTCTTTTTCATTAACCATGTGAAAAGGATGTATTTTTATGTGTATATGGACATGATTTGTGTGAATAGGATAAATATGTGGACTCATTTGGAAAGAATAATTTGTGTTTCAGTGGTTTTGTCATCAGAATTTATGGGTATGTTCATTCAGATACATGGCAGAATTTCTGCTGACTTCACTGACTCCTCCTGTCCTAAATCTCTAAGCTATCTTGAGACTGACTGTCTGGAGCAGAAAATTGTCTGCTCACATAAAATTATCCTTTGAGCAAAATGGATGCTTTATTTTCAGACTTGAAGGCAAATAAAGGCCCATTGCTTTCACCTATATATTTTTCTGTGTTGATTTCTGAAAGCCATTGTTAAATATCACAGTTGCTTCCAGAAGTCTGTGTTAGAACTGGAGTTACATGGCTCAGGGTACTTGTTCAAGCTATGTGAGGCAGTCTGTTCCTTGCCTGAATAACCATTTGTCTAACATGAGGAAAGATTCAGCAAATAAATGTGACTAACAGACAAGGAGAGGAAAGAGTGAAAGACTACCAGAGTTCACCAAAATTGAACTAAACCAGGGTAGTTACCTGGAGCACGCGTGTGATGTCTCCTACAGTCACTATACAGGCTGCTGCCTTGCACGTGCCACAGCACTCTCCAGGTTTCCTTGTATACTTATAACCCTGTTTTGAAAGAAATAGAAAGAAAATGACATAGAGTGAGGGCACTGACCTTAACTGGTGGATATTTGAGCTGAGTGGGGTAGGAATTACTGACAGCAAAAGAGCACTCACCACTGGGCAGTATGTGTCACAGATAACTGGCTTGCACTTGACAATAGGCTGGTGGGGGCTTGAATGGGAGGATTCAGAGCAGGTGCATTCTTCACAGGAGCCTGATGGAATGACAGCTCCAGGCTGGGGGAAGTTAGAAAACCAGTCATTTTTAGTCAGTAAAAACAAGTTACTTTGTGTATGTACATCACAGACAATACAAACCTGAAGTTATTGTTAAATACAGTTTGGTTATTTTATTTAAGCAGAGTTTCTGTTGTTAGCAATACCAATTTTGGAATTAAATTCTGCTAACGTAGAAAGGAGAGCAAAAAAGGCTTTTGCTTGTAGGGAGGGTGTTGATAACCTGACCTTGATTAAATTATTAATGATGTTTTATCTCAGGTCCTTCTGCAAAATATGGTTCATGTTAAGAGTCTCAAAAACATTGCATTGTGAACCTGTGTGAATATGTATTAATGTACTGAGTTACTCTGTGTACTTACTGCGTAGTAGGTTTCATTGACTACACAGCCATGTCCTGTAAAGAAGGAAGAAAGATGGTGTCATAGAAGTGTAAGTTTTAGGAAAAGAAGTGCATGAAAAACCTACTACTTTGTTGGCCCAATATGAAAACACAGATAATTTGCATATTTTTCAATTTTCTTGTATTCATCAACTTAGAAAAATTTAGCTGTGAATAGCACATGAAGAAGGTGCATAGTACTTACTACATTCAAAAGTAGGACAGCATTTTCCAGGCTGCATTATTGTGACAACTTCCTGTCCCTCTAAGCACTGGTGTGTGACCTCAGGGCAGAGGCTAGTGTTGCAGTCTGTTTAATGTAAGGCAATATAGAAAATAATGAACTCAGAATTTTTAAACAAAAGTAATTTTGTTTTTCATGAACTTCAGAAATTGTCCTATGGAGCAAATACGGTGTGTTTACACAAGCTAGTCTAATGACTAAGTCGGTGTATTTGGCCAGCTATTTTAAATTGAATGGGCATTTGCATAACATTTGTAAAACAAAGTGTTGTCTGACAATGATAAAGTGATGATTCCTAGGAAGAGGTATTTCCAAAGAGAAATTTATCTCAGTTGGGAAATCTGATGACTCTCAACGATTAAGGAACTTTCTTGAGCAATTTTTAAATGTTCAAGACTTTTTAATTTTTTTATATATTTTTTTTTATACTGGTCTTTGAAGCAGAAAAGGCTTTAAATAGCTTTTGAATATAGTTTTTTTTCAGATGGTAGCAGCTTTAAAAGTTTCCAGTGTTGAATAATAGATGATTTCCAGTTACTTTTCTGTGTCTAACTATGGACAATTTTTCATCTTTGAATTTGTCCTCTTCAGGCATCTAGTAAATGCTCTGCAAGAAGGTATTTAAGGTACTTACAAATGGGATGAGGGAGAAAAGCATTATGAAATCAATAGAGGGTATTAAAAAAAATGAGAAATTATTGCTGTAGTTGCCCAAAATTATATTACCCATGCCTAAAAAATATATTCCCCATGATAAAGAACTAAGCACTTACAGCACTCAGTCCTGGTACAGCATGGGTCTTCTGGTATCTGTGTCTGAACAGGCATATAACCTGGTTCATCACAAAATACTTGCTGTGTCAGGGAACACTTGTGTTTTTTACAGTGCACTTTAAGAGTATATTTGTCACAGATGCATTCCTGACAATCTTTCATCCACTTTTCTCCTGGCTATATTAAAAAGGAAAGAAAAAAAAAACAAAAGAAAAAAAAAAACAAACACCAAAGAAAAAAAAAAGAAGAAAAAGTTAGATAAAAATTCAAACCAAAATTTTGTTTCTTGTTAACTTATTCATGGGTACAGTGATACCTGATTACATCAACCTTTTCGTCTTCCTAGTATTTTTAGATTTTATAAAAAACCTTCAAACTGAAGCTAAGGAGGGAATTACTGGAAGCCACTGAAGGTTTTGAGTATGTTTACACATCTGTCACTTTCTGTTTATTAGTAGTGTTAGTATGAGGGATATAAAAGATCTAAAGGAGAAGTGATTGAGCTTTGTATGCATTTTTGAATAGGAAATTATCATACGACATACTCATTTACACATTAGGTTACAGAGAGAAATTTCTATAACTTGTATGCAGCTGAGGAATTTAGAATACAGACTATTAACATTATCAAGCAAGAGGTAAACTTTGCTATATATCTGTCCATTCATACCTAGTAACTGTAGGCAGCCAAACTTGTGAAAACAAAAGCAGCACATATGCCAAAGTTCCACTACTACCATCTAGCAGTTTGGGGTTTTTTTTTGTCTTTTTTCTAATTATTTCTTTTTTAATTATGTGAGGTGGATTATTGAAAGAATATCCCCTAACTTACTGTTAGTTTTTCTTAGGGAATAATGTGGTTTCTGCTCTGGCACTCTGTCCTGGTTTTGGCTGGGATAGAGTTAATTTTCTTCTTACTAGCTGGTGCTGTGCTGTGTTTTGGCTTTAGCCTTGAGAACAATGGTGATAACGCACCCATGTTTTAGTTGTTGCTAAGTAGCACCTACCCTGATCAAGGACTTTTCTATCATCTCTTGTGCTCTGCCAGTGAGGAGGACCATGAAAAGCCGTGAGGGAGCAGAGACAGGACATCTGACCCAAACTAGCCGTAGCAGTTTTCCGTACCACAGCATGTCATGCCCAGTATATAAACTGGGAGAGATACCAGTAAGGGCAGATCCCTGCTCAGGTCAGGCTCGGTATTGGTCAGCGGGTGGTGAGCAATTGTATTGTGCATCACTTGTGTTTATTCTTTTCCTTTCTCCTTTTAGTTTTATATTCTCTCCCCTTGTGATTTCCCTTATCATTATTATTATTAGTAGTAGTAGGATATTGTACTTTAGTTGTTAAACCATTCTTATCTCAACCCATGGGGTCTACATTCTTTTGATTCTCCTCCCCATCCCAACAGGGGTGTGAGCGAGTGGCTGTGTGGTACTTAGCTGCCAGCTGGGTTTAAACCACGACATACTCCCAGTTATTTCTAAGACTAAATGGGAACAAACATTTGAACAAACCCTAAAATTTTCCCCAGCCTAAGCAAAACTTCATGAAATGCTAAATATCCTTTTGCTTTATTTGTCTGTGCTTTATAAACCATATTGATTGTGATACTTACCCATCTGGATATTCCATTTGGTTCCCTGCAAGCTGGAGAAAAAAAAAAAAGGAATGAAGATTTACACCACTGAAAACTGACATAGAGTAAATTTGTGCAGTTTCAAATAGAAATACTGTGAAGATAAAGCTAACAAGAAAATGAATATGCAGACTTGTTCTTCTGAAATGTAGAATTCTACCATCTTGGTAGGCCTCATGTAAAGACGGAAGATAAAAAAAAAGGGTAATATTGATTATCATTCAATTTTTAGATGAGGAGGCTAAAGGAGCTTCAAGTAGTTGATTGACTCATGAACTGATCATATAGAAGATGGCAGTAGAACACAGACCTCCTGGCTATCAGTCTGGATCTCTATTCCCCAGACTAACTACAGATACTTACAGCATTCAGAGACACAGATGTTGCTATCTTCACTCATGAGTGTCTTTCCTTCAGGACAGAAACATCCTTCAGTTACTCCATAGCCAGGAAGCTCAACAAAGCTAGAATGTGAGGAATGTGTATATTTGAGTACAACATTTTTGCATTGAAGCAGGAGAGAGCAGCACATATAAAAGGTTGACACGCCAAATAAAAGGGAGGCAAAAAAATTATTTTCTGCAGTTCAACAAGAAGTGCATATTCATAGAGCTAACATATTTTTAAATCTTGGAAAAAATATCCAAAGTCACAAGACATTTCATTATGAAGTAACTAAATTTACTAAGGAAAGTAGATAAATAAAAATAGGGGAAAAAATGCCCAGAACAACCTTAAACAATTTTTTTTTTTTTTTGGCTTTCCATACCTTGGATCACAGGTAGCAGGATTAATGGGTCCACATGGCTTGTATACCAAGCTTGATGGACAGTTGTATGCTGTATGGAAAAAGAATGAAAAAGAATAAAAAAGATCAAAAATTGAGAGTGCATGCATTTTTGAAGCAAAAATGATTACAGCTTTGCCTTCTTCATATGCAGCTTCTGTGAATCAGGATGTCGCTGTAATTTTTTAGGCAGTAGTCAAGTGTTAGATGTAAGATGTGTTTACTGAATAAAACACTTAAGTACTGCCATTTCTCACACACACATTTTTGAGTTCTGCAATACTTACAGCATGTATTGTTGGTCTTTCCTCTCCAGTCAATGCAGACACCTCTAGCAGCACACTCTGTAGCATATATCTCCAAACTGGAGCACTGCATGGATTCATCAGCTATACGACATCCATCAAAAACACAGCCTTTGAAAAATGGTTCTGGTGGTATTACAGCATGGCATTCTGCAAAAATCCTGCAGACAGAAAAGAGACCAACCCCTTATATAAAATACATATAAAATCTGTTGTCAGAGAGCACTTTCCGGATGTAATGGCACATGACTCTCTGCTTCAAGCAGGAATGTATTGCAAGAAACAAGACCCTAGGAATGGCCAGTAATCTGGGAGATAGATTCAGGACATGGAAGGTTTGGAAATTTGAAGCTCCATTTTTTGTTTTTTTCCTAAAGAGGCTAATGGTCATAGTGTTTCTGTGTGTGTACGGACCTTTTTCATCAGTCTGACATGAGAAATTTCATGAAAATGCAACTGCATCATATTGAGGGAAAAGGGATGATAAAAGTAGCTGAGAGAAAAATCTAACAACAATAGCTTGAAACTTAGACACTACAGCAAGCATCTGTAAAAGGGCCTGTATAAGTAACACAGCTGAAAAAAAAGCTTTCTTCAGAGCTCACATAAGAAATAGGGTGGGAAGCAACCCTTTGTGCTTTTGGGGTTCCATGTTTTACATTAAATGTACAAATAATGATGGAAGCTTTTTGGCTGGGATATTTCTGTCTGCTGTGTTAACTTGCATGGTAACCAGATTCTTTACGGATTGTGTTGAAGGCCCACTTCAAATTTAGTGTTCAGTCTTTACTTAATAGTGTAACTAGAGTGAGTGAACATAACCTGGAGAGCAGGGAGGGAGGAAGGAAGGAAGATAGCATATATCTGTGTAGTTGCAACCCAGGAAGTATGGATTTAGTGCTTGCTGCATCCCTGCTTTTCTGACTTTACCTCTCCTTGCTCAGTTATCTTTGTCATGGAAGTCATCAAAGGAGAGTTTCTTTGCAAAAGCCTTTTACTATATATATCCTGTTATTTAGCTGACATTTTCAGCTTTTTTCACATACAAGGGCTATAGTTCTTACTCTTCCTGTAAGATACTGAATTTTATCTAGAAGGAGTGAATTCATTCAGATTTTTTCTTACTCGCTCCAGATAAGGTTGCAAAGAGAAGGTATTCCACAGTGAGGCTTTGGTGGAGGTGTAGTTACAACTGGTGGTATTGGTACTCCATGGCATGACTTGTTGTTATCAACAATCCAGTGATGAGCCATTTGGGGACAGGAAGAAATGATCTTACCATTTGGTAAGCGGCATTCATCTGCTTTATTGTTTGAACATGTTCCTGTAAGACATAAGCTATGTAAGTCTCATAAACAACATCAAACATGCACAGTGCATTATTGTGCTAATACCACGTTTAGAAATTATGTGTTCATGAAGTGTATAAGGTGCCTTGCTTTGTAGGGATCGCTTTCTTTACAGTTATATGAGCTTTAATTTAGGTTAGGGAAAACCAGACAAACCTAAAACCCCAGCCCCAAAGAAAAAGAAAACAGATTGCTGAAATACTGAACTTTTGTTCCTACAGAAGTGGAAGACTTTTTATTTCCATTTTACTGCCGTACTTCCATACTTCTGCCAGTCATGAGACTGCATAGGCAGAGTGGGTGAGAATAACCATGGTAGGGTGGGGAAATAGTTCCACCTCAAGTTAGTGCATCTGTCTTACCACACTGTCCTTCGGTGTTGTTGCCAAATTTGCTGTATGGAAGTTTCACAGAGAAAATCAGCCCACTAAAGGTGATGGTTGCACCAATCTCTGGTATTTCAACAATCATGTTGATGCCAAGTGTTGAGAAAGAAATGCCATCTTTTTTGAAACCTGGTTTGACAATCTTGTGGTTGAAGTACATCTGAATGCAGGGTTAAAAAAAAAGCACCAGAATTCAGAGTAAGCACTGCTTCTGCCTGATTGTTTTAACTAATGTATTTTCTAATCTTCATCTTCATACATAACCCCATATTGTTGTGCATCACATCCAATGCCCATTACCATCACAATAATAGCATATATATGCATTGATATGTCAGCTTGTATTGTTATATAGCCAGAGTATGGTAATAATCTAAGTGGCCTCTGTGTATTGTGTTTGTGTAGATTGTGTGCTAATGCATAGCATTCTAAATCCAAGTACTTTCTTTGTATCTCATAGTTTTGTGTACTGTAAACATTTTTCATATGAAAATGAGTGGTAGTTTTCTTTAACTACATAAATACTTCTGCCATTATTACGGAATAACTGCTGCAGAATCACGCTATCCTTATACTACCTGTTGTTAGGCACTGGAAAAGTTGTCTGAATTCAAAATTAAGTAGTATGTCCCTGGTGCCAGTTTTATGTAGTAGTTATATTTATTTGTTAATCTAAGCTGTTCCATTTGCAGCCTGTATCTTATACAAGCTGATGGACATGGATATATTTGCCTGATAACTTTTTGTCAGGAGTTATTCTGCAATTTTTTTCTCATTGAATTGGGATAAAGTAAGAGTTAAAATTGCCAGTTACTTTTTTCTTTCACAAGGAATCACTGGAGTAATTGTTTCAGCATGCTTTTCTGACTGCAGGTAAGGAGAATGTGGCATGGCTCTGTTGAGGAAGAGTGCATACTGAGACAGACTTTCCCTCCCACCTCTTTGTGTTTTCTAATTGATTAGTAAATTCCCCAGTATAGGAGTGAGACTGACTTTTCATTTTCAATAGCTTGCCAATACTACTTTAGAATCATGAAGGTGAAGTGACACTCCCAGTCACCCCTTTCCTTCAGCTACACTTCTCTTCCCAGCAGGGAATTGGAGGGGGAATCATGTCATGGCTCTGATGCCTGAAGTTCCCTATACAGAGGAAACAGTACCTAGTCATCCCACTGATAAGGGATGCAAACCCGTCTTCGGCATGAAAGTCACACTTGTGATTTGCGTTCATGTTTCTTAATAATGTGTTTGTTTATATAAGTCAATGTCACAATATACTGGTTTTCATTAAACACAAATCAGGCACCTGACTGATCATTCTTCCTGACTTCTCTGTCAGCTGTATAGTCTGTTTCCTAGTGTTACTTATGTGTACATGTACATGTGCATAAAAAATCATATCTGCGTAGTGCTAAGTTGTTTCTGATATTGTTTCCTTAGGAACTTTTTTTCTTAATGATACCTACAAAAAAATCTGGAGAGGGACTTTTACAGGGGCATGTAGTGTCATGACAAAGGGAAATGGTATTAAGATGACAGAGGGTAGATTTAGATTAAATATTAAGAAAACATTCTTCACTATGAGGGTGGTGAGACACTGGAACAGGTTGCCCAGAGAAGCTGTGGATGCCCCATCCCTGGCAGTGTTCAAGGCCAGTTTGAATGGGGCTTTGGGCAACCGGGTCTGGTGAAAGGTGTCCCTACCCATGGCAGGGGAGTTGGAACTACATGATCTTGAAGGTCCCTACAACCCAGACTATTCTATGATACCCTCTACCCTCATCACCTCCATGATGCAATATTCTAACAGACTGTATTTCGAATTATAATCAGCAAGGCCTCAGGACCTTATTTCTTTTTTGCAAAAAATAGAGAAATTAAAAAGTGTATATTTTACCACATTGGTCATCACACCATTCATGAGTTTACGGGTCAGCAGCACTTCTGCAGATTTATAGAAAATAATAATGGATTTAGGGCAGGAAAGTCCATCTTCTGAATCGCAGTAATAATTGTCAATGTAAACACGGAAGTTGTCGTATTTAGGCACAATCTGTTTCACCAGGACGTAAGTACAGTTTTCAAGGAAAGTATAGTAGGTTCCATCAAAAGTAATATAATGTGGATCACCCCATCCACTGCACACACCTGGTAGAGAGAACACATTTAGAAGATTAACGTGAAAACTAATGTAGAAGAAAGAATTTATAAACTGAACTGAATATACTACAATTTAAGAGGACCCCTAAGAAGACAAAATGCCCATATAATTTGTTTGCTTTTTTCAAAACAGATTTTTCCTTTATCTACTGGTGCTTACATTGACATTCATAATGATAACAGCAGCCATTTTCATCAGGTACCAGTATTGCTGGATATTTGTTTGCACAGGTAATTTCCTTTACAGGTGGGCAGTGCGTTGGAATTACTTCTACCTTGTTGTCTCCCTTACAGATGAGTTCTGTACAGTTGGATAATTTGTATCTTTGTCCAGGCTGCAAAATGACCAAAAATTGCTGTTAGGAATTTGCAAACATATATGAACTCTACTCATATTTTCCATTTAGTGGTATATTGTTTCCAGTAATGGTGGTGTTGGAAAGGAAGATAATATGCGTTACTTTTCTTAAATTTGTGGTGCTAATGATTTCTAATGTTGACCAGAGGTATTCATAATTATGACCATGATACAGAGGATCAGAATGTGTTCTGGTTTCAAAATCTGAAGGAAAGACTAAAATTAAAATATTTGCTGATAGTACAAATTCATCAATATTCTACAAAATTTATTTATTTTAATGCTAATGGAGATGGGAACACTAATTCTTCTGAAGTCTAGGGAGATAGGTCATAAGTTAGGGGAATTGATGTCCCTTATGTTAACTGATATTAGCTATGTAATTGTACTTCGGTATCACCAAAGACCATCACTATAAAGAAAAGTGTGTACAGAAATAGAGGTGAGAAGGCAGAAGAGAAACTAATACAAGCCTCCACAGTAGCTTACATTATACTATTTAGTGAAGAAACAAAATGTACAAGAAAACTCCCTCTATTATTTCAGAAAGACTTCTCATTTATGCAACACAGTGCATCAGAAAGTGTTTTACTACTACAAAAGTAATTATAAAAGATAATTGTAGCTTGCTTTCTCAGTGTGAAAAAAAATTATAAAGAAGGAACATAAAATTTTATGTCGTTCATATTACTCACAACAAGAAATGCTTATCCTGGCAGCCTGCACATTTAAAACTTAAAAACTACAAACTGTTATTTCTGGTATCAACTTAACATTGATTTTAATTCAGGAATCATAACATAACACAACACAGAAATAACATACTTGAAGAGGAGGGTAAGTAGCAGAAACACAACCAGGAAAAGGAAGCCTTCCAGAAGTTGTAGGCAGAGGAACTGTTGTTGTTATGGTAGACCATTCAGGAGACGTAGTGGTTAGAGGAGGAGTAACGTTACAATCCACAGCGTGTCGTTGAACAATACAAGTTGGACTACAGATGGCATAAAATCTACATCCGTCACTATCTGTACGGTTGTAAATCACTTCACCTGAATAGAAAATAAGCAAATCCAGTAAGAGACAAAGAAAAAAAAAAAAAGAAGCTCAAAACCTGAAGAACTCAATAAAAAAATAGCAACTAAACTTTCTGAATATAATGGAATTAAAAATAAACTTGTAATTAAATAAAAACACCAAATAATTAAATATTATATGTATTGACTGATAAAAAATTCTTAACTAACCAGGTGAAAAAATAACACTGCCAATTTTGCAGAAACATGGTCTTGATATAGGGGTAGAAGAAGTGCTGGTACAGCAAGACTCAGATGTGGCACTACTGGTAGTGAGGCTGGTCGTTGGGAGGAGGTGCTGCTTGGGCAGTTGTAGTTCGGGGTGCAGCAGAGGACGCGGATCCTGTAGTTGAGGCACATCTTCGACTTGCCAGTCTGGTCTTCGTTCTTGCACACCAGCCCAAAGTGGACGTCGCACTGCACCACCTGTCCGACCTGCTGGATGGAGACCTCGGGGTAGTCCTCCGCCCGGCACTCGATATCCTTTGGACGTTGACAGACTTCCTTCCCGGCGGCGCGGATGCGCTGGTAGGTTTCGAAGTCTCCCTGGTTGGGCCCCGAGGAGGGGAAGTCGACGTCGAACCATTCGCTCCAGGAGCACAGCTCGGGCTCACAGGCGGTAGTGGACGTGGTGGTGGGGGAGGTCACGCTGGGGTAGTAAATGGTAGGCGTCGCTGTGGGGCTGGTGGTGCTGGTGGTGCTGGCGTAGGTTTGCGATATGATTTCTGAAGAGGTGGGCTGCGTGGTAGAGGAGTGGTATGTGGAGGTGGAGGTCGTGACACTG